TAAATTAATATAATGAAGATTTTCAAAAAACGTTTTCATTTGCTTGAATTCGTGCAAATTCAGAAAAGAGTAAAGTTCAATTATATCAAATATTTGACATTGCAACTTTGTACCCCCCTGGGGACCCGGGGTAGAATAGAATCTGTCCTCAGCATCCCACTGCTGGTTGTGAGAGGCGACCGAATTGGGCAACCTTGTTTGCCGTGGGTTGCGCCCCTGTGTCAGTGGAAGAGAGGAGTCTGGTGGTTGAGGGTACTGGTTCCTGGAACTGTGTTCCTTTGCCCAACGGACCATTTTGACCCTAACTTCACCTAGACGGGTGGAGTAATGGGCTCGGTTCTATCAGTTGGCTTGTCACGCCACTCCCTGTGCGTAATACTTCTAATTCTTATTTTGCCGTCCATGTTGACACTCTATGGTGGGTGGGGAGCAGAACCACTTTATACTTGTCAAACTATTCACAAGAAAACAGGATAATAACATGATGAAGATCTCTATATCTCTACCGTTTCACTTTCGAAAATTGCTGATTCGGTCACAGCTGGGTATGTAAATATTGGGATGGAGGTTTAAGTACCAAACCATATCCGATGTTACAAATATCAAAATGTGTTACATTACTGTCCCCCTGAGAGGAAATGTAAGACCTCACCCTTCAAAGAACCTTTATTCATACCAGTTTAAAAAGTAATTTGTCATTTTACTCGATGGCTTAATTCCGTATCATTGCCTGTACAAAGAGGGAGAAAATATCACGATTCATGCAAATTGCTTTCAGGAACTTATACTCTTCCTTACAGAATCCATTCTAGACGTGTCACAGGCGACAGTTAAGTTACGTTCATGTTGAAATCTGAAATAAAAACAAATTAGATGATTTGATTGAAGATGTATTTTAGATACTGGCATTTATTTATGTTTGAGAGTATTGCACAGCCTGTCTGTCTGTCTGTCAGAAACAGAATAGTAGTCCAACAATATGTATCTACGAATTGCTCACACAATTCCAATCATACATTAGCCATGGACACAATGTTATATTGTCCTATATTGAGATTTGGGGTTCACTAAACATAATGTAAGTTATTTTATGTTGTTTGCTTTGGTTTTGTTTTCACGTTTGATGCTTTAATGAATCCACTGATGCAACATATTTGTTTATCTCTTCTTAAGAATAAGTGAAGTGAATTGATTGTTCGTTTGCCGTGATACATTATATGTCAGTATATCACGACGATCGGTAAACAAATCGTCTTTTGACCAGACAAACTAGTGTCTGAATTAGTGCCTGAATTAGGGTCTGAATGTTATATAACTATATTACGCTGCACTTATTCAGGTACTAGTATCTGCTCAAATGCGGTTTATTTGTGCCCCGACCAGCGGATCCCTTTGCATTCCAGTTATCATTCTCCAGCCCCAGGATAGTAGATAACCCAAGTTGCCTACGGGCGCTAGAGGGTTTTTACATCCACCTCATGTATTGGGTTAGGTGAACAGAGGCGCGGTTGAAATAAGTCACTTGCGCAGGGTGATACCACACGTTTTGACACTTGTGTTTCGGGTGTATGCACGTGTTCATGTTTCCATCTGGTCAACTATGATGAGTGGGTTCTTTAGCGTGCACAGGGCGAAAGCGTATGCTACAATTACCACGTCTGGGAAAGAGCCTGACAAATTGATCCAGTTCAGGCAAGTCTGTACTTAGAGAACCTTCACATATGCAGTTGGGGACAGACTCAACCCCCAGAATTCCCAAAGGTCTCTCTTCTCACAACATGGTAAAACGGAAACAAATAAGACAATATGTTGATATTGCAGATTGGCGATTCCGATCTTGTAATTTGATAATTATAACCAGTCTTTGAAAGGCATTTGGAAGTGATATACATAGGGAAGATGATTTATGGATGTAAATGCTCACTCCGAAACGTTGTGTTCCTCATAATAAAGAAACTGACATCCATAAATCTTCTTTGTGGGTAATAATACTATAGTGAATACAAAAAAGTTGATAATCTATTTTCTCAATGATTGTTACTATATATATTTCAGGTTGTTTCACTGAACATTTTAGAGCATTCTACATTCTACATTTCTGTATCACCTATGTTGACAAGAGGACAATTTGTCCAGGTGAACCCACATTGTTCTATATGTTCTTTTTGTGATACATTTGAAAGTAAATTATTCTGAGCACTTCAAGCATTTATCAAATAGCACCTAAGCTGAGGAATAGTTTAACCAAATGTGTCCTGATGAAGGTTATCATGCGACTCAGACTGGTGTAAGCACGACAAGGCAATGACTCTCAACTTGGATTAACTTATTGCACATACCTGTCCGGGTTGGTTAAGGGATTTCACAAATGCTTCTATGTATTATATTTTGCATTTCAATATAAACATAATCGATAGAACACTTCATAAATGTTAATAATGCAGGTTTTTCATTGAACATTTCTTTACCTTCATTTCTATATCATCCATGTTGTCCCGGTGAATGTAGCTTGGCTTTGGCCAGTGAACTATCACACACAGTTATAAATTGTGTCAATGTCACATAAGGTCTGACCGAACACAGGCCAGTAGTTATTTGTTATCTTTATATCATATGTCTGTGTACATTGATGAAACATCGCCACTGAGGACACATATGGAACAGTCCGCGAAGCATGCATGAGTATGTGACGCATATCATACAACAGAACATTAGCAAAATTCACTATTAAGTTATTAAATAATTATCAAAATGAATTTTATTTGTGTACTGAGTGATGAGTACGGTTTTAGGCCACTTGTAGCAATATTCCAGCATCACCACGGCTGATAATGGGCTTCACCGGAAAATGGGCTTCACACATTGTACCCATGTGAGAAATCGAACCCGGGTCTTCGGCGTGACAAACCAACGCTTTAACCACAAGGCTACCCCACACCTCTCTACAATCACACCTTTACGTGTGTTGGTGCGCGTGTACTTGTGGGTCTGTTGGTTCACATCCTGAATATAATGCCATTTTTGTCCAGCCAACTGAGATACAATATCGCAGGTTAAACACGAATACCCCACTCAGAAACAGCATACTGACTTCGAGCAAGTGAGTTCTTGTTCTTGTTCAGTACCAGCCAGGGTAGCAACAAGACCCATGTTTTAACGTGTTTTGGAATGAGGGAGCTGAGGATGGGATGGTACGACCGACCTTCCTCTCTCTCATTCCACAACGCATTGTACCGATGACGTGTCTATAGTACCAATAAACCAAATGAGTGTCAATCCTATGAGATGTGTATCCTGATTCGTGGTTTGTCAACATCGAAGACAATCAAAGAACCAGCTGCCTTCGAGTTGATATTCTACATTAGCCTCACATGAAATTAGTCAAACATTGTATAATTTAAACCACATACTTAGTTATAATGTGTTCCCTTGCGTGAATATCTGGTAACTCTCAGCATCAAGAAAGTAAAAAACAAAAACAAACAATAAGCAGAATGATTTTAGGACCGGAAGCTCACATTTGATTTGCTCAAGAACTCAAACATATTTGAGACAGGCTCTTTATGTGACCATACTAATTTTGTGAATGAGAGGCTAGAAAGTGAGACATAGCTTTGCTAGTGTGTGTAAGGACATGAGGTACGGTGAAATGGGGTTTAACATCGCGTCCGAGAGTATTGCACTTATGTAACGACGTGCATGCATGTGTGTGTGTGTGGCTTGATACCATGTCACTTTTTAAATTAATACCCCACTCAGACGCAGTATACTCCGAGCCAGCCAGTCCTTGTTTTAGCCCCTTAAGGACATGAAGCTCCCCTGAAATCAAGGGATACTATTTCCGTAATAACAAAGTAAATTGGTAAAATGCATGCTGTTGAGAACATCTTTCTGGAATGCATCACTTTCTGAAAACTACTTCTCATTATGAAAAACACACAAACACCAATTTTCACTGTGACACGTTTCAAAGAATATAAAGTGTAAGAAGAAATGTTTCTCTGTCCAGGTTCGTGAAACAAACTGATTGTCACCATCATTGTCTACATCCTCTCTTTGGCAAGCATGCTAATGAACCTGTTTCCTTTGTGAAGCAACTTAATCAGGTATGTGTGATTGTATAAATAACCTTTAAACATTGACAAATCGCAGACATAAATTAATATTGTTCAGTATATGGTTGAAATCTGAGGACAAAGCAAGAAATGTTAATTTTGTTCTGTTCTGCAATTTGCATGACTGCTTTTGAAGTTTTTGTTTATTTATTATTATTTTTTCATTCCCGTGATCAGAAGACCTTTCATCTGGATTGATCAAAGTGTGGATAAGCTGGACGCTACTGCTGACGTTAACCCTTGGTAACAGACCTGAAAACAGTCTGGGGATGCTCTCTCGACTACACGTGACGGGGAGGCGGACGTGTTGGGACCTACCAGACCTTCATTTCCAACGAGATCTCAAGGTATGACCACGACCGTCCACTGGAAGACAAGCCGGTGTGTTTGGGTCTGTTATAACTGGATCGCCATCAGGAAACAACCTAGGGTACTCTGCCCTTCCAGACGTTTCACGGAAAACACACAAAACAAGATTGGGCGTATCAAGCCTAGAGACAAGTTAGAAGCTCTTAGATCAACCAGATATGGTTGGTGTACTTGGCCCGTATTCTTCACGGGGAGACAAGTTGATGTTCTAATGCCAACCAGACATGGATTCTCCACGGGAAAAGAAGCGAGGTATGATTTGATGTACTGTAACCAGTAGTGTCAATAGGAAGACAAGATTGTTTACTGGCATCTAGTAAATTCAGATTTTCCAGAGGCAAGCATAAGATACGACAGATAAGATGATGATCACTGCAGGCTTTATTATATCCCCATAGTTGAGTGACACAGCATGCACAGGGCTGTAAAAATCAATACTGTGACAGTCTTACAGGTTCAATATCAACAAAACCTACCATTGTCACAATTAGGACACAAATATTTCCGTTCTCATCACTACCCACATATCTGGTAAGACCTGCAGGTAGCATATTGTTTTTTAATAATGGAGATGAAACCCGGAAACTGAACATTGACACATTTTATTCCGGTGGTATGCTCATCATCCTCCTCCTCCTCATCATCACCATGTGCACTGAGCCAGTAGTTCGTCTGCAACGTCTTTCTGTCTCTATTGCGTGTCGCCATCTCTACAGTGACCACTTCAACCTGAAACTCAACAAACCCCCTGGAATTCACAAGTCATAACATCGATGACACTCTCAGTCATAGGCCACGATGGTGTACGTCAATATTTCATTCTACTTGATTCTTGAAATAAATCTTTGCATTCATAATCACAGGGATGGCATAAATATCGTTTATGTGAAATCAACAAATGATGTTTATGACTAATAATAACTGATAACATTCAACATGGCTGACCCAAAACGTGCATGATCACTCCCCTTTTACCTTGGATAGTGGATATGGATTCTAAACCTGCATCGCCCCCACAATGATGCATAGTCCATCAGGTGCCGTTGCATAATTAAAATACTTGGTACTGGATATAAATAATACAGTTCACAGTGGGGCATTGGGTTTACTGGTATGCTGAAATGAGAGTACGTAATCTTCACGATTAAAGCTCATTGTTCCCAAATATGTTTTTATCCTTTCGGACAATACAATAATTATGCTCTCTAACATCATTCACACACACACTGAGGCAGTATTGACTGTTATATATTGACAAGCGTGGTAACTCACGTATTCCATGAGCCAATCATCTTTGTGACATGGATCAGAAAAGGCAACACCAATTGTTTTCACCCCGCAGACAGAATCGGCAATAAACTGAAAGGATCGATTATACAAATACATACCATTATAGTTTTCTTTGAGTAATTAAACTAATGTAGTAGGACATTCCACAGAAATCACAATCGAATAAGGATGCGAATATGCTAATAAGTTCATAATGTTCAAAGGAGATGTTCAATTCTTATAGGAAATTTGAGATAACTGAAAATGTTCATTGAAGTCAGGATCTTGGTGGCCCACTTACAGTACTCTCTGTTGTTATAAGGCAACGGTTTATGGTGATCCCTGCATAATTGTGGCTCATGGCCTGACCATATCACTCCCGGTCAACCCTCAGATACCCAGCGGGGGAATGTGTGCTGATGTGCATCACCATGCTGGAATAATGTATGTCACTTACTGTTTTTCGGCCCACCCGGTGACCCAACGCCTCTGACGCTGATAAAATGACTGGCATGAAGCAATTTACAGAGCATTAAGTCAGCTTTAGAACCTGCATTTCGTGTCCAGTTGGGAAAACGTACACTACCTTGTGTGTGCTTTGGCGTCCTTCGGCAAAATTCCAGTCGGGAGCAGTTCTGCTACCTTGTGTGTGCATCAGCTACATTCCATTTAGAAACAGTTAACTTACCTTGTGTGTGCATCAGCTACATTCCATTTAGAAACAGTTAACTAACCTTGTGTGTGCATCAGCTACATTCCATTTAGAAACAGTTTACTTACCTTGTGTGTGCATCAGCTACATTCCATTTAGAAACAGTTAACTTACCTTGTGTGTGCATCAGCTACATTCCTTTTAGAAACAGTTTACTTACCTTATGTGTGCATCAGCTACATTCCATTTAGAAACAGTTAACTTACCTTGTGTGTGCATCAGCTACATTCCTTTTAGAAACAGTTAACTTACCTTGTGTGTGCGTCAGCTACATTCCATTTAGAAACAGTTAACTTACCTTGTGTGTGCATCAGCTACATTCCATTTAGAAACAGTTAACTAACCTTGTGTGTGCATCAGCTACATTCCATTTAGAAACAGTTAACTTATCTTGTGTGTGCATCAGCTACATTCCATTTAGAAACAGTTAACTTACCTTGTGTGTGCATCAGCTACATTCCTTTTAGAAACAGTTTACTTACCTTATGTGTGCATCAGCTACATTCCATTTAGAAACAGTTAACTTACCTTGTGTGTGCATCAGCTACATTCCATTTAGAAACAGTTAAAATTACCTTGTGTGTGCATCAGCTACATTCCATTTAGAAACAGTTAACTTATCTTGTGTGTGCATCAGCTACATTCCGTTTAGAAACAGTTAACTTACCTTGTGTGTGCATCAGCTACATTCCTTTTAGAAACAGTTTACTTACCTTATGTGTGCATCAGCTACATTCCATTTAGAAACAGTTAACTTACCTTGTGTGTGCATCAGCTACATTCCATTTAGAAACAGTTAAAATTACCTTGTGTGTGCATCAGCTACATTCCATTTAGAAACAGTTAACTTATCTTGTGTGTGCATCAGCTACATTCCGTTTAGAAACAGTTAACTTACCTCGTGTGTGCATCAGCTACATTCCATTTAGAAACAGTTAACTTACCTTGTGTGTGCATTAGCTACATTCCATTTAGAAACAGTTAACTTACCTTGTGTGTGCATCAGCTACATTCCATTTAGAAACAGTTAACTTACCTTGTGTGTGCATCAGCTACATTCCATTTAGAAACAGTTAACTTACCTTGTGTGTGCATCAGCTACATTCCATTTAGAAACAGTTAACTTACCATGTGTGTGCATCAGCTACATTCCATTTAGAAACAGTTATATTACCTTGTGTTTGCATCAGCTACATTCCGTTTAGAAACAGTTAACTTACCTTGTGTGTGCATCAGCTACATTCCATTTAGAAACCGTTAACTTACCTTGTGTGTGCATCAGCTACATTCCATTTAGAAACAGTTAACTTACCTTGTGTGTGCATCAGCTACATTCCATCTAGAAACAGTTAACTTACCTTATGTATGCTTCGCCGTCTTTCAGCTACATTCCAGTCGGGAACAGTTTGTTACCTTGTTTGTGCGTCTCCGTTCTTCAACTACATTCCATTCGGACAAGTTAGGTTACCTTGAGTGTACCTACGCGTCCTTTTCTTAGTCTGATGTCTTTGCCATTTGTCAGTTCCTTTCTAACTTGTCCACACCATCCTTCGAGGGTTAACACTAAGTCTGCTTTCGAACCAGCATTTCGTTCCCGTCCAGTCTTGAGGTGCACATTGTACTTTGCTTTTCGCTCTGTGTTTAAGAAAAGACATAGGGTTCAACTACCAACAGCGTAAATCTATTTTCGATCAGTTTTGGAATACTCCCGTATTCTCCCCGTATTCTCCCCGTATTTTCCACGTAAGTATTAAGCATACATATATGTTTCTCGGGAATAGAGGTGTCACGTTAAAGCATGTGCCAAGTGAGAATAGTGTCTTATATAAAGAACATACCCACACGTTTCAATGAAACTGTTCACTCAAATCAACAATATACTGATCAGGATTTGAACCTAAAAGGTTTTTGTTATATTTACTTAATTATATGACGATGCTCTACCACCATGGTCACATATCAGAGGGCATGACATTCAGTATGTTTCTTCTATCTTTGAGCGTAGCGAGTGTTTGCGTGTCTACTTTTTTCTCAGACATGTGTCTCTTGTTGATGAGATGTTGTTTATTATACACTAGTATGTATGGATGATGTGCATATTTGATATGTATTTTCCCATCCACTAAAATATCACATCATTGATATCAAACAGTATACTTACTTTCGCATCTCTTCTTGCACGTGTGTTTGTACCCCAGGCTTCCAACGCTCATACCCGCTGTTCCATCATCCTCCCCAACGTCACAACCTTCAAATGAATTTAGTGTGAACGATCAATAGAGCAGCATGACATTCCCAGTAGTATGCATGTGTAAGAATAGATTTTCGGATGTGGTGGTCTAGTTCGGTGTCATTGCTGATTGCATGTAATTGTACTACCCTTTAGCAGGACACTCCTGAAAACATCCACCTCTGGTTTGTCTGGCCCGCACTCAGTGTTGTCACAGGCCGTCACGACACAGTCGGAATATTGCTGACTTTCAGGTAACATTACATTCTATCACATATGAGGAGCAAAGTAAAGTGCATCATGGAAGGTAGCAACTTGAAATATATATATTAGTTTATAAACAGTCAAGTTGTTCTCATTATACACGGGGGCACGGGTGGCCAAGTCGTCTAAGGCGCCGCGATTCGCTGTGCAGAGTTGCGTCCCTTGGGTACGCCAGAAACCTATGATTATGGGTTCGAATCCCGGTTCGCCCCGTTTATGTTTCTAGGTTTGGCAGCACCATACCCGTGCTCGTGGGTTTCACCGAAGTGGTAAACGTCTGAGACTTTCATCACTTCGGGCTTTCCTCCCACATTAAGCTGACACGCCGTGATATAACTGGAATACTGTTAAAAGCGGCGTTAAACCCAATTCACTCACTCACTCACTCATTATGCACTCAACTTTATTCAGTAGATGTGTGAGTACTCCTTTCATTTCAGATACTACAACAATCCATGACACAAACAAACCATTAATTTTGACCAGCAATTCTTGTAGCCATTTGTCTGTGGTAAACATCTGTGACCTGCATCACTTCGGGCTTTCCTTTCACATTAAGCTGACACGCCGTGATATAACTGGAATAATGTTAAAGGCGTAGGCCAACATAATTATACTATCACACTCTACTAGATTAATATATTTTGGAGGCTATTGGTCAGTTTTGGAGATAAAATATGACGATTAAAGCTTTTCATTACTATTCTGAACTGCTCATTTCCTGAAGTGTTGACATTCCCCTACTCCCCTATCTACTTACGATTTTCCTCGTAACCATCGCATCGCTTGTTGTGGCTGATGTACACAAAATACAAACAGCTGTTATTTCTGTAACAGCTCACGGCACATGCCACCAGGTTACTGTCAAGAACGGAGTATAATGGTTCTGTTTGCACATTGTTGTTCACATCATGTTTTCTGCATTTATAAGACATTTGATCAACACTGCTGCGAACGTAAACTGTCCAAAAGACGCAGATGCGCCAAATACCCCCAACACCGAGGAGCTTCATCGCACAAAGGAGAGAACATACAAGTGTGAGAAACTATCATGATCCGTGCAAACTGTTATTGAGAACTAATTTTTTTCCTCACACAATTGATTCTATACTATAAATGGCACTTGTTAATTAATTTATAAAGGTGTTGGTTTTTTTGGGTTTTTTAAGTGATTTGACGGACATGTTTTTGTTTAAGATAAATGGATTTAATCTTTCTTGTTTTTTTGTTTTTGTTGTTGTTTAGGATGGTTTGATAAAGGTAAATTGATGAAATTATTATTTTTCTTAATACAAATTGGCATTTATTTATGTATTAGCGGCACGGATAGCCAACTTGTCTAAACCGAGTTATGTCCCATGGGTTTTAATCTTGGTTCGCCCCTTTTACGTTTTCAGGTGTGTCAGCACCAGACCCATACCCATGTGTTTAACCAAAAAAGTAAATGTCTGAGATCTGTATTACCTCGGGCCTTTCTTCCACATGAAGCTGACACATTGTGATATAATTGGAAAACCGTTCAGAGCAGCGTTAAACACCGTCTATCACTGTTACTCTATAGAATCCCCGTTGAGACCCGGGATAGAATGTGTCCCCAGCACCCTATTGTTGGTCGTAATAGGCTACCGAATTTGGCAACCCATTTTGCCGTGGCTTGCAACCCCTGTGTCGGCGGAGGACGGGAGGCAGTATAGCTTTCAAAAAAAAAAGTGTGAGGACATTTCCAAATTTGATGCATTGGTGATACAAATGATGTCCGATGCAATTCCCTATTTTTAATTTTACCATATGCCCCCTTGTTTTTCTTAGGTGAACAATTGATTTGCCTTTGCATGTGTTTGTGTCTACCAGTTGCGTTACTGCATGGATCGGTAAGCTGCGCGTCTACTTGCTGCCTTGCTGCATGAATCGGTAAGCTGCACATCTACTAGTTGCGTTGCTGCATGGATCGGTAAGCTGCACGTCTACTAGCTGCGTTGCTGCATGGATCGGTAAGCTGCACGTCTACTAGCTGCGTTGCTGCATGGATCGGTAAGCTGCAGGTCTACCAGTTGCGTTGCTTCATGGTTTCGTTAAGCTGCACGTCTACCAGCTGCGTTGCTGCATGGATCGGTAAGCTGCACGTCTACTAGCTGCGTTGCTGCATGGATCGGTAAGCTGCGCGTCTACCAGCTGCGTTGCTGCATGGATCGGTGAGCTGCCCGTCTACCAGCTGCGTTGCTGCATGGATCGTAGGCTGCACGTCTACTAGCTGCGTTGCTGCATGGATCGGTGAGCTGCCCGTCTACTAGCTGCGTTGCTGCATGGATCGGTGAGCTGCACGTCTACTAGCTGTGTTGCTGCATGGATCGGTAAGCTGCACGTCTACAAGCTGCGTTGCTGCATGGATCGGTAAGCTGCACGTCTACCAGCTGCGTTGCTGCATGGATCGGTAAGCTGCACGTCTACCAGCTGCGTTGCTGCATGGATCGGTGAGCTGTGCGTCTACTAGCTGCGTTGCTGCATGGATCGGTGATCCCAATAGCGTAACTGTATGCTCGGGAGATCAATCACTGGATTATCTGGCCCGGACTCGGTTATTTACAGAGTTCAAGTTCAAACTGACAAACTGCAAATTTGACACATGTCCAGTGACTGAATGTGAAACACGCACATTCAGTCACTGGACATGTGTCAAATAACACGAATGTCTTACTATAGTAAACTATGGTTTTAACAAAAGGACCACTTATTTTAATTCGTTATATAGGTTGTTCGTTATAAGCGTATGCTCAGCTAACATACAGCAAATGGACGGGACCAAGAAATGGTTCGTTTTATCCGTCAGTTCGTTATAAGTGTAGTTGACTGTATAAACACACTTCCATGACATTCATCATGGCACACAGACCAACATAAAAAAATGCTTCTCATTCATAAAGGTTTTTTATATTTTTTTTTATTTCAGTGCTAAATTAATATTTTGAAAGTAATTTGAATTGCTACCTATAATTTAATTGATATGTTTTGTATTAAATAAAGACGGGTTTTTTTTATTGGTAGAATAAATGTAACAACTGAGATTGTTAGTGGTAGTGAGAGGACTGAAGTGGATTGTCACAACATCGTGTGTGTGTGTGTGGGGGGGGGGGGGGGGGGGGGAATTGCCACAGCATCCTTCTCTTAAATAAAATATCAAGTAAAATAGGAAACATATAAGGAGTGATATATTAAAGACTATCAATGACGCTAAACATGATCTGGGAGATTTTGAATAGAGTGAAACATGTGGCTCCGTTCTTAGATCCAAGGCCAAACAGATAGAGCCTGGAGATGCACCAAGTGAATACTTGTTGCATATAGAATGTTAAAACGTCTTCAATACATGTATAAATTAATTAGAAAGAAGTGATGGAACCAGGAGGAAATGCCTTATAGGATAACACTGATAACATGCCTACATGCCCATTTTGCTGAATAAACTTCACTAATCCTGTTTTTATTGTATAAACTGAGCTCCTAGACTCGTAAACATCTGCAATGTGCTCCTGTTATAACGAATATGATGAATGTAATATTTAACGCCTGACGTGTCCTCATTTCACAACTCATAAATAACACACGGAAGTTATAACAGTCCTGTACTTGACTAGATTCAGGTCATATGTGTACTCTCCGGATGTGTTTCTCCCTGGGAGGAGCGGCAGTTACGTGGACTGTGTGATCAGTATGTATTGAACACACACACATCGCCACGGACAATACATTGTTGAAGGGTAACATATTATCATGTAAGTATTACACTCTTGTAAAAGACGACATTGTGTGTTTTATATCGGGGTGTGTTCTGTGACATAAACAAGGAAGTTCAGTTTGACACGGGATGAGCATATGTGAGATGAGGTGTAACGTCGCGTCCAAAATTATATGAGTGAGTGACTGAGTGAGTGTGTGTGTGTGTGTGTGTGCGTGCGTGCGTGCGTGGGTGCGTGCGTGCCTGCGTGCCTGCGTGCCTGCGTGCCTGCGTGCCTTCGTGCGTGCCTGCGTGTGTGCCTGCGTGCTGTGGGTGGCTGCTTGTACTAGTCCGGACTGATGCCAATTTATAGTGCTAGCACACTGAGTGACCATGCCGCAGTTTAACATGAATATCCCACTCAGACACAGAGCCGACCTGTCCTTGTTTTAGCGGACGTTCTCTCGCAAGACCACGGAGGCGGTCCTATTAACATACATACCTGTATGTAAGTATTTCAATTAAATTTTAAAGTCTCGTGGGTCACACTGTGTTTAATATTTACTCTGTCGTGTGGTAAATCAACGCGAACATTTCAATGTGTTTTATATCGGGGGGTGTTCTGTGACATAAACAAGGAAGTTCAGTTTGACATGGGAAAGGCATGTTTGAGATGAGGTGTAACGTCGCGTCCAAAATTATATAAGTGCTTGTACGTGTGTGTGTGTGTGCGTGTGCGTGTGCGTGTGTGTGTGCGTGCGTGCGTGCGTGCGTGCGTGCGTGCGTGCGAGTGTGTGTGTGTGTGTGTGTGCGTGCGTGTGCTTGTGTGTGTGCTGGTACTCGTCCGTACTGATGCTGATTTATAGTGGTAGCACACTGAGATACCATGCCGCAGTTTAACATGAATACACCACTCAGACACAGTGTACTGACTCCGAGCCAACCTGTCCTTGTTTTAGCGGACGTTCTCTCACTAGACCACGGAGGCGGTCCTATTAATATATGTACGTGTGTGTAAGTATTTCAACTAAATTCTGAAGTCTCGTAGGTCACACTGTATTGTATATTCACTCAACGTGAGCATCAGTGTATGGCCTCCTCGTCGATCTTAGTACACATTTCAAAAACCTAGTTTGTCAGCCTGACTGACTGTTGTCATCTTGAGGAGAGGGATGACGAAGGTAAACGAGCGCCATGTGAGAAGGCCACTTCTTGTCCCCACCCGCATATCGCGGGGAAATTGCTTACCGCTGTGTGCAACTATACTCATTCACTCACTCACCTTCTGTAAATATATTTGCATGCATCAGTGCCCTTAACTTTAACCATGACCGGATTCTGACAATATATTGTTTTGAGTCCGTCCGTCCGCCGTCCGTCCGTTCGTTCGTTCGTTCGTTCGTTCGTTCGTTCGTTCGTTCGTTCGTTCGTTCGTTCTTTCAGTTATGTATTGAAATATGATTGGGTAGTGTAACTAGGCACACTATAAAGATATGGCATATCATGGCCTGTTTTTAAATCTTCCTTCTTTCACTTTCGTATCATCAACGCTCTTTCACAATAACGTCTGGGCTTCTCTCAAGGTCTTATCAATTTCCAGGTTCAACCTTAATGGTGGCAAACATCCGTGTTTAATAACCAGAGACAAGTGGTCCTTTCCTTCTAGCTAGCATTACCGTAAATAATCAACACCGTGTTCCAATTACAACTCAACATTCCAAGTGAAGATGTCACACCTAATGTTGAGTGAGCGGGATGGGTTTAACACTATTCCAGTTACATCAAAACGTAATGTCAGCTTCATGTGGACAATCAAGTGTTGCAGGACTTAGACGTTTAACGTTATTATCACCATCATCATCATCATCGTCGTCATCGTCATCGTCGTCGTCGATGGTGGTGTCGGTGTTGTTGTTGCTGCTGCTGCTGTTGCTGTTGCTGCTGTTGTTATTATTATTATTATTATCATTGCCATAATATCTGGTTACTTTTATTATGTATGAAACAATGTTATTATCCTTCAGTTCACAGGACAATTCCTGGTACCAAATTATCATTTAGCAATGGTCGGATTAGGGGTTATCGTCCTTGCAGTACTGGTCAGCGTTCAATCAGCTCCTCGCCATGTACGGGTCAAGAGGAGGCCTGGAGATCATCCACCGGAAGGAGAGTGCTCGAACTTCTGGTTGGGTGGAATTTCTAAGGTCCACTTTTACACCTGTTGCAACAACTTGGATGAAGGTCCTCAACCCTACTGCGATGGGCGTACTTACCAGCGAGCATCCACGGAATCGTACTGTAAACCTGGTGGGTATGACGGCGGGAACGGTAAACAACGTGATTCCTACCGTTGTGGAGGGTGTGATGGCCAGACCCAGGTAGCTGTGAAATGCAAACCTCCACCTATACTGGATGTTGTAGGAACGTGTTGGGTGTTCACTAAGTGTTTCACGGACTACTGCGAAGAACGATACAGAGTGAATGAGTTAAACTTCGCATTAGATGTCTCAAGGATGCCGGACACCTGTTACAACGGAGTATGTGATGCAGGAGAAACTACCGACAACTGCCCAGTCGACTGCTGCTACAAGAAAAACCCGTCAAAGTGTACTTGGAACAACAAGTGTGTGCCGCGGTTCTGTGGCACCCCGGCCTGCCAGAGTGGCGGTGAAGGTGTCTTCAGAGCTGGGACTAATAGTATCAAGATATTAATTGCCGCACTGCTGGTGCTGAATATATAGGTCGGGCGAGATCAAAGGTATACCCAGCAAACAAATCCAATGTTCGTTGTTGGGTGAACCCTTCGTGAGAGCACTCATGCTCATGGCGTCAATCTCTGGATTCTATGGTTCTGAAGACCTGGAATATTGCTGAGTGCAGTGTTAAACAACAAAGACACAAACAGAAACTTCCATCTGAAAAAATTCAGACTTGGTCCAGAGCAATCCTTGCAGTGTTTCCGACTGTGCTTTTAATTTGATGGGCAAGGTCACACAGTTACACAATGTAAACATGACCGGTTAATTTGATTGCTGTTCAGCATGTATTCTGCTTCATCTATGGTTTTGTTTGTGTAAAAATTAATTTTATAAGTTTCTTCACTGACTCATTGTTTTTTTTTATATCATATTTTGAAATAAAGAATGGTTACCGAAATGTCTTTGTTTTTTTGTTGAACGTTGCAACATTCCTGCCATATGACGTCGATATGTAAATTATCAAAAACATGGACCCAGTCAAAGTAAATTTAAAACGTCAATGCAAGAGAGTAACCAGTCTTGATTATACGCCGAAACAGATTCCATTTGGCGTGAAGGGCAAACACGCTGTGACAATTATGTTAAGGGTACACTGGAAAGACAAGTTCCAACAGGGAATGCCAGTACGTTACCTAAAAGTAAGTCCTACTGGCTGTTACATTTCCTATTCAGTTGAATAGCTCTGTTCATACATTATAAGCAACCATAAAACAATAGAGGCAGTAGCAGAATCGGGACAAAATATGCCTTGCATACACTATTGCTTGCTACAATATAGGACTGCCTTGCTTGAATGGTAGAATCTTCAATATAGGACTGACTTGAGTGAATGGTCGAATCTTAGCGTAAAAAAATATATTTTACAAATATATGGTTTAATGATTTTCTTGAGTGAATGGCGGTGCTTGCGGTATGTTATGACGTGTTTACCTTTTTCGCGAACACCTGGTGTCCCGCTGATTTTAAGAGGTCCCTTCGTATATTTTAAACAGCTACTTTACCTTTACTTCGAATTTCAATCTGTTTCGATGGATAAAATATAATCTAGACTGGTTACACTCTTGCACTTACAATCTGTGTATATTTTATCCAATGTTGCAATGCTATTGTAGAGTTTCCTTCATGGGTAATGGTGCAGAATGGCATGTCTAAATTCCTTTTCCCCGCGCCTATGTTTCGACCATGGGCCAGAGGGTTGCCTTCTCGAGCAAACATGCTGAAGACCTATACACGATTCCCCCACATATATGTGATGTTGGCACGTGAAGATCCGGGGGTAGAATTGGTCTTCAACAACCCATGCTTGCCGTTACAGGCGACTATGTATGTTGTAGGAGGCGACTAACAGGATCAGGTGGTCAGGCTTGCTGACTTGGTTGATGCATGTCATTGATCCCAATTGCGTGGATCGTATTCTCATGATATTAATAACTGGATCGGCTGGTCCTGACTCGATTATTTACAGACCGCCGTAATATAGCTGGAATATTGCTGAGTGCGGCGTAAAACAAACCAACTATGTGATGTGTGCTCTATGTGCGTCCTCGTCTGTAACGATGCTGTGTCTGATTGGACTGCGAGGAATTCGTGGTGATTCCGGGTCAGAGCTTGTCTGATTGTAAGATGCGATTTAAATCACCGGGTTGTCAGGGTGAGCCGTCAGTGTTGACGTACCCAGACAGCGTGAACCGTTCTCGTGATACCAATCACTCGATTATCTGGTCCAGACACGGACATTAACAAGACGCCGCCGTACAGCTGGAATATTCCTAGTGTGGCATAAAACAATAGTCAATTGTTCATAGCATCGATCATTGCTTTGTCTGGTCCAGACACGATTATTTCCAGGCCGCCGTCATATAGCTGAAATTTCTCTGAGTGAGGCGTTAAATAACGTTCGCTCACAATATCAATCATTGGGTTGTCTTGTACAGACACGATTATTTCCAGGCCGCCGTCACAAGCTGAAATGTCTTTGAGTGTGGCGTTAAATAACATATGATAATAATATCAATCATTGGATTGTCTGGTTCAGATTGGATTATTTAAAGTCATATAGCCGGGTCACTGCTGGGTGCGATGTCATGCAACAAACGCCAGCAGATCCTGATACACCTACCAGAGGCAATCTGAACGTTATTATATCTCTGCATCATCACATTAAGAGAACCAACGAATTTGTTACAATCGGCTTCACCAATGGAATAAGGTTATCAAAACAAAATATCTTTAAAATATACTAAAAAATATACCTGACGTTTAAGTATATTTGAGAACCTAATTCAATTGCTGGATTTGATCAAAATGATACGACTTGAAAGACATCTATTATTATTCAACAATGTATCTTATTCTGGCGCCTTGTTCTGTATAAAGTCTATAAGTTTATAACACGTATGAAATGATTGAGACTAATTCATTTCCAGTAATAGGACTGCTATGAAAAATTGTAACGTATAACATCAGGACTACACGGATATTTTCAAGCAATACAGTCTACATAACACCAATCCTAGTGTGTGTGTGTGTGTGGTATAGACTGGTCGATCAAGAAAACAAATAGGTCGACCCGTTAAAATTAAAATAAATAAGTAAATAACTAAAAATAATATTAAAAAATACACTTGTCTTTATTAGTTTTCAAACATATGAAATGATCACCTACAATGTCACTTATTGCTACTGCATAATACATTTTCTGAATAGAAATGTAATACCGCATTCGACGTAATAAGCGCCCCGCTCTAATAAGCGCCCACGGCGATATTTGCTAATTATAGTATATTGGCTAGTGAACAATCCCAATTGGCACCCCTTCCGATTTATCAATGTACACACGACTTAATTTTCGCGTATTATACGCACCCGTGTGTTATATGCACCCTCAATCATGGGCAATTAAATTCTGGAAAAATATATCTGTCGTACATAAACATTTCAGGCTGTCAGCATAAACCACGAAATTTATCTTTCAACTCTGTTTTTTTTTACCAAAATAATATTCTAATAAGAGCCCCCCATTTCCAATTTTGAGAGCGCCCTGGGCGCTTATTACGGTACTATTTGTATCATCTGTAGAGCTCATTGTTTTTTTCCGAAAAATATTCTCCACAGCGTTACACTTTATCCACAAAGAATAACAATAATAACAATAATTAATTCAATCATTGTGTTTATGTACTTGTCATATTTTGAGCGGTCGGGTAGCCTAGTGGTTAAAGCGTTCGCTCGTCACGCCGAAGACCCGCGTTCGAATCCCGACATGGGTACAATGTGTGAAGCCCATCTCTGATGTCCCCCGCCGTGATATTGCTGGAATATTGCTAAAAGCGGCGTAAAACCATACTCACTCACTCACTTGTCATATTGCTGTGTCATGTTATATATAGTAATATATGTTATTATGATTAAAATAGTGAGTGAGTGAGTTGGGTTTAACGCCGCTTTTAACATTATTCCAGTTATATCGCGGCGTGTTAGCTTAATGTGGGAGGAAAGCCCGAAGTGATGCAGGTCTCAGACGTTTACCACTTCAGTGAAACCCACGGGCACGGGTATGGTGCTGCCAAACCTAGAAACATAATCGGGGTGAACCGGGATTCGAACCCACAATCATAGGTTTTATTTGATAACCTTATATTTTAACGAATTGTAAATCTACCAACGCTGGTGGTCACCTAGAGTGAATAAAGGTTGGTGGTTGTTCCAAGTTTAAAGTTTATTCAAGCAAAGTCTGATGGCTGTTGAGCGTGAAAATCAAGTCATTCTCTCATTCACCCCAACCACGCGTGACTTCATATATCATCCGGGGCTGTAGGATAGACTTGTGGTTAAAGCGTTCGGTCGTCGCGTCGAATACCCGGGTTCGATTCTCAAAATGGGCACAATGTGTGAAGCCCATTTATTGTGTCCCCTGCCGTGATATTGCTGGAATATTACTTAAAGCGGCTTAAAACCATTCTCACTTACACGTTCACCATCTATCTAAAGCTCATAAAATGGAAAATTAAATGTGCATAAACTGTTTAAAAGTTGACTGGACATGCGATCAACTGTGACTAATAACTAGTCATAATCTGTATTTAGAGATACGTTGATATTTGTGGCAGCCAAGACTATCAGATAATCTCAGCTTGGGTCGGTGAGTTGTGCACGGCGTTTGACATGCTAAATCTCCTTTCAGTCACGCATTGAAGGGCAGACAAAAGTCCATTGAAAACTGATAGAGCAGAACGGTGGTTAAACTGTGTGTTTGTTTGTCCCGCTTAAGACCAAACTCTGACTGGAATATTGTTACAACCGGCGTGAACCTTTCTCCCTCACTCGTTCACTGATCCATGCATATTAACCCATTGGGATGACGTCACACTGTTGTTCTTGTAGTTGATTCTGAGCCAGTCATTCACTGGGCATGCTGAACGTTTTCGCCAAACTGTCGCATTTGTATGTCATTATGAATATTTAAAGAGACAACATACATCCATAACACGATTTAAGTCAGAGCCATCACTCGGTTCTGTAAGCATGAACGAGGCCGACAATTCTGAATTACATACACGCCAAATTGCAGATTAAAACGGCTCCAACTTCTTGGCTAAAGTCAGAGCCATGCCTTAACGTAAAGGTGCCATTGTGACTTCATACAATAAATCATTGAATTGTACATCTGTATTTTTCCCGAAACATTATATTATTTGTACATTGTATTCAGTACAAATCAATCAGGACCTATCCCTGATTGACTTGTATCATCAAATACCCCGTTGTACAGAACAAGTGTATTGATTGTATAATTTGTACATGTTTTGAATAATTAACTCACAGTTTCATCTGGGGTGAGTTGGTATGGGATAAATGGAATCCATTATATTAAGCAGATGTATTATCTTCGTCCTCGACATCCGATACAAACGCTCGCCTATCTATCCACTCCAATTCGTTCCCAAGAAATATAAGTATCGCCTTCGCATCCCTACTGTACAAGTATATTTAAAAACACTCGTATACCCTCTCCCAGCAACACTCATGTCGTCCCATTGTCCCCTGGGCATACGTGTGTAAGGATTGGGGCGGGGGATATCGTGGGTGAGGAGTCATATTACGTGGGAGGGGACTTCGCACAGATTTCAAATCATATTTTCGTTGCATTCACATGGTCAGTCTTACATTCTAACGGAAGATGACAGAATGAAAACATAATAAAATCAAGATCACGATGTCACGACGCGATGTGAGTGCGACGACGTGTCACGTCGCTTCGTGTTGTCGTGCATTCTCCTGCAGATGTGATAGAGTGAGTGAGTGAGTTGGGTTAAACCGCGCTTTTAACAGTATTCCTATCATATCACGGCGTGTCAGCTTAATGTGGGAGGAAAGCCCGAAGTGATCCAGGTCTCAGACGTTTACCACTTCGGTGAAACCCACGAGCACGGGTATGGTGCTGCCAAACCTAGAACCATAATCGGGGCGAACCGGGATTCGAACCCACAATCATAGGGGAGCAACTCTGCACAACGAATCGCGGCGCCTCAGACGAGTGGGCTACCCTAACGAGTGTTGATATATTTGATGTCAGACTGCCGTCATATAGCTGGAATATTGCTGAGTGCATCGTTAACAACAAACAAAAAACCCAGATTTTTCTGAAAAATACCATTAGGCATCAATTATTTGACTCTTCGTTGTCAGACAATATTTGTCGGAGCGTGTTCTTGACTATACTAGCTATAGCTGATGTTACTAGCTATTTGTGTACAAATCTACATATATGTTTCTGTACAATTAAAAGACTTGGAAACTTTGCATTGTGACATATGTATAATATGTATATTTCATATATTTAGTGAGTGAGTGAGTGAGTTGGGTTTAACGCCGCTTTTATCAGTATTCCAGTCACATCACGGCGTGTCAGCTTGATGTGGGAGGAAAGGCCGAAGTGATGCAGGTCTCAGACGTTTACCACTTCGGTGAAACCCACGAGCACGGGTATGGCGCTGAAAAACCTAGTAACATAATCGGGATTTCTGGCGTGTCCAAGGGACGCAATTCTGCACAGCGAATCGCGGTGCCTTTCATATATTTAGTGATTGCCTATATTTAGCAATTCCATATATTATGTGATAACAAACAATTAGCGATGTCATACAACTGAAATGATTACATACAATTAATGATGTCATACATCTAGTGATAAAACAGATTTCGGGATTATATATAATCATAGATTACTTACAATTCATTATTACAGACACTTAATGATTACATAGAATTAGTGATTACATAGAATTAGTGATTATGTACAATTCGAGATTACGTACAGTTTGCAATAACATATAATATGCGGCTACATACAGTTACAGATTAGATTAAACACTCGATTACATTTGAAATAAAGAAGTTGTTCTCCAGAAATCATTTCTTCTTTGTCATCCGTCAGCCTCTAAGTCATGCCTATCAAACAACATAACACTGACAGTATTAATATGTGAATTCGCAACAGTTGTGTAGCACACACACACACACGCACACGCACGCATGCCGACACACACACACACACACACATACGCACGCACATGCACGCATGCCGACACACACACACACACACACACACACACACACATACATACTTACATACACACATAAATTGACGAAACGAGATAAAAATACCAACACTATTACCACACAAACAAATCTGAACAAATTGAATTTGTTCTTTAAAAGTGACATATAGAAAATGTGAGCTAATCGTCTAAACTCTGTAACAGCAACATACATCTGTGTAAAACTAACAAACAAACAGTGATACGTTATAACAATACATTGTACATTTTGTAATCTCTATGCACATAATTATACATAATGATGCTGATCCTAGAAAGGGTTTTGTTTCTTTTAATTCATCCATGGATTTTTTTCACAGGTTATGTATTTGCTTCAGATTGTGATCAGCATGAAAGAGGGTTCCACGAGCGTTACGTTACAACGTAAACTCCTCTTGCTGAGCCCTGTTGGAGCTATCACCTTAGTGATAGTGTACATGAGTTACCAACCAAGGACAGTTTATCTGCCAGGAATACAGACACACTCAGAACATGATACTTGTCCCAGTGTATTAAAACATATGCTGAGTGGTTCATGGGCCACACGACGTCTGGTCAAGAACGAGGAAGATGAGATTGAGGCATTTTTACTGCAAGGTCTCTACGCTGTAAATGGAAGCGATTATTTCGAATTGCCAGATAAACGATGCGGGAACCTAGGGTACTACCCAGTGATGTCTCAAGACGAAATGGCAAGCTGGACCCGGGTTATGTGTGACCCTAGAGGAAGTAGCCCGTGTTGCTATGAAAACAAGTGTCAGATGAAAACAATTAAGGAATGCATGTGCAGCAACTGCTATGACCTTCGACCTCAGATACATGCCGAATATTCAAAATGGAGTCCCGACGATGCCAGGTAAACATTTGCGGAAATATAACATGAAACAGACACAGAACAAATGTTTGCCGAATGACTGATGCTTTTCATTTAAAAAGTATTCACACTACAAGAAAACAACAAGGATGATGACTAAAACAATGTATCATGGACACATGTCCGATGCAATTCTTCATTTTGACTTGTACCATATGTTCCCATGTTTTTGCAAATGTTTGTCGCGGGTGCCACCGGTGGGGCAGGATACGCTCACCTGTTTGCGAACACCTGGTACCATTACTATTTAATAATGATTCATAAACACAGCTTTATGAAAGAGCCGTAAATCGAGTTGTAAATCGACTCTGCGTTATGTAGAGATTTCTATGGGATATGGAAAGGGTTTTGTTTTAGATGTTATTAATCATACTTGTTTGGGGGTGGAAGCTGTGCATAGAAGGAAATATGCCAGTCGTAATTGTCTTGGTGAAATCAACAAAGACCGACTATTCAGGGTCAGTTGTGCGATTCTGATGATGTCAAAAGCATGCGTGTAGGAATCACCATCAATTCGTGATTATGCCACGAGATACCTGGTCTACCGGTGGCTTCCGTCATAAACACATGCAACGACAAGTCATGATTCCATCCAAACAAACACAAGAACATATGGTAAAGTCAAAATAAGGAAGTACATGGTACATTGATTTGGTCAAATTTGGAAAAAAGACATAAAGACCAGATCATCCATGTTCATTTTGTCAATTCTGTTCCTCAAACTCCTTTGCACTTATGATGTCATGGTTAATTATAGTTGTGTTTTTTTTTTACATTAGCATATGACAAGAAATGGCTGAGGAATATATTTTTCGATTGCAAACATTCTTGCCCAATGCTCCCTGTTAGCTCCTTCTTGAAGTAAAAAGCATGTTTTAATGTCGTCAGATGTCAAGTGAAAACATTTTCACCCAACGCTGCCTGCGAGCTCCTCCGGGAAGGCACCTATCACTTCTATGGGGACTCCATTGTCAGAATGGTGTTTCTCGCCCTCATCATCATACTCAAGGGAGACAATCAATATGGCGGACTTCGACCCGATGCACCTATAGGTATGTATCTAACTGGTCTTTTTTTTCAATTTTACAAAAGCCCTTAACGAGAGACGAGTGCGTATTTAGTGGTTGATACATTTGTTTAAATATTGAACTTAACTTAATGTGCACACGTCATATATTGTTACAGATATTAAAAAAACATGTTCTGGGATGTACGTGTTTCCAACGCGGAACTGTCGAGCGTTTTTGGACTATTCCCCGACACTCTGTAACGGGACAGTAACAGTGGTGTTCCGACATTATCCAAGGAGTCAGGACGTTCCAAAGATGAGGCGAGATGTCAAGGAAATTCTAGAACAACCAAAATCTATCATCTTCTTCGGAGCTGGCGCATGGCAGCATTTTGATAGGTTGGACATGAAGATATATGCCTTGGCTGTAATCAGCTTACTTCAGGGCAACAGTCGATTGTGGCCACAATTGATATGGTCAGGCTTTCATTCTTTCGGACTCTGGCATAGACATATTGTACCAACATCTGATAATGCTCACGTTGAACCCTTCAACAGATATATGGAGGACCTGGTGGGAGCATTCAATGTACCCGTGTTTGATACCTTCAACATGACTAAAGGAGTGAGGAGCGTGGATGGCACGCACTATGGCCCTGGGGTCAACTTTGTTAAAGCTCAGATATACTTGAATTATATATTAGAGTTAAAACGACAAGGAAAGTGGAAATGACATGTGACATAAGTAGTTTCAGCTTAGCGTCCCGTGGCAAAGGGACACTCAGTGTATTCCATACTCGCTGGAAAAGCATAAAGTTTAGACTGGATGCCTTTATCTGCTTGATTGTGTGGTGCTCTACCACTAATCTGGTTTGTCAGATTTTATTATTTAAATCTGACGTGATGTCATTTGCTAAGTGTAGAAGGATAAACAATCAGTCGGTCACGTGGAATTATGTTGTGACGGTATGACACCACTGACCCTTTAGGGTGGTCAGGTTGGTGAAAGCATTGGCTCACCACATCGAAAACCCGGGTTCGATTCCCAACTTGGTACAATGTGTAAAGCCCCCGTCATGATATTGCTGTAATATTGCTAAAAGCTGAGTAAAACCATACTCTGTTACTCACTCATTAACCCTTTATAGTTCATGACATATTTGTGTTAAATGTGTAGTACGTTTGGTCTGTGTACTTGCCTACCTATCAGTCCTTTGTTTCGCAACCTTACGACACCATATTTATAGTCACTGGCAGTGTCCACATTCGTTGTAATTTGTGTACACTTGAAGTCATCACATAGGCACACTGCAACAGTTCCAAGTTAATCAGGTGAAGGTGGGAAACCAATGTCAGGTGTCCAACGCCATGTCGTTCCTTGATTATATCATGCAATTCAAAATACCAAGATGTTTCAATGTTTACAAATTGGACGGAAATTCTGCTTAATATGTTCAGTGGACCCACGCTGTCTCCTCCCAAATCCTCCTTCCGACAGGGCCCTAAATCCACTTTTCTCTCTTGGAATGACAGTTCATACTCAAACTGGTCACTTGATCTTACATATTTGTATGGACTTTGTTCAAGAAACGTACGGCACGTTATGAGTGAGTGGGTTGGGTTTAAAGCCGCTTTTAATATTATTCCAGTTATATCATGTAGTTTCATACTTTTGGTGATAACATGTCATTTGCAATTTCATATATTTAGTGAGTGAGTGAGTTTTTTTAACAGTATTCCAGTTATATCACGGCGTGTCAGCTTAATGTGGGAGGAAAACCAGAAGTTTACAACTTTGGTGAAATCCAAGAGCACGGGTATGGTGCTGACGATCCTAGGAACATATTCTGGACGCACAGGGATTCGAACCCAAAATCATAGGTTTCTGGAGTGCCAAAGGGACGCAACACTGCACAGTGAATCGTAGAGCCTGAGACGACTGGGCTACCCGTGCCCCTGATATTAGAAATATTTAGTTGGTACCAATGGTTTGTTTGTCTGAGAGAAATAAACACTATGATGATGCAGTGTCATAATCTCATTGATATGAAGCTACAGGACAAACATGTTTCGAATGTTGTAAACAGTTCCATGCAAATGATAAAAGAAACAGATGGTAATGATATATATATATATATATGCATACATGCATAGACTACATATGCAACAGAAAAGGTGGTTTCAGTGGTCGCTTTTATTCCAAGCTAAGGTGTGAGAGGATTATTCAACCATTAAATTTTATGAAATGATATAGGATCATCGATATATCTGATGCTTAAGTTACACTTCTTGGCCAAATTTGGCGACGCGTATGTATAAGGACCAAAAATAGATAAGAGCGACATTTAGTGCCTATTGGTGTGCCTACTTTGTGGCTAAATGCACCAGACCAAAACATGGCAGACATGTTAGCAATAAGAAAGGCCAGAATCGTACACGTTTTTTTTCTAAGTAGAGGTCTGATAACTTATATTACTTTATTTTCATTCATGACAAACTGACCTAAAATGTTAATGATGGAACGTTGCTGTATATGACCCCCTCGTGTAATTGTTTATCGCGTGTGATAGCGAGGGGCACAGTTGAGGAAGGAAATGTTTTGACAGCAACGGACAAATTTCTGACATGGTGAACATTCAAAGATATAAGTTTTAAAATGACATAAAACCTGGAACTTTGGACCAAAACATCGGCTCTTTACAATGTAATGTAATACACAAAATCTTCTTAGGAAACAAAGAAGATAGTAAATAAGGGAACATTGCTTGTTTAAAAGTGTAGATTATCTATGTTTAAGGAAATAGTGTGTACGAATACTACGGGATGGGATAAGAGGAGGGGAATAAGATGACACATTTCAAGCTGCATGCCCACATCAATATGCTTAAGATGACTTGTAACCTGATGTATTCTATATGAACGTTTATGACCGAGTTTGATAAAACAATTTTGAAACCAAAAACTGAATCAGTAGATTCACTGTTGATTGACTTACTACTCGTTTTTTGACGATTATGCATCTCATTCTTATTATGACGACTTCGAAAAGAGTAAAAAATATGTTCATGTCAGCATGTGAGTTACCATTTAGTTGTCGTAGAAACCACTGATTTCAACCCCTGAGGTGTTTTTTTTTCTGGAAGTATGAAAAAAAGTTAAGAAAAGATAACTCTAATTGATTTAGATAGAAAGAGAAGCGTCCGTAAAATATAGCCTCGCAGGGGCAAGATACTAATTGCTCAGCATATATGCATGTCCGGTAGACAGAGCATTTGCCTGGTCCACGGCCACCTCATACCAAACAGACGCCTGGCGCTCGGCACTGAACGGATGAAACAAGGACTTGTCTGCTCAGAGTCGGTATACCATGTCTGAGTGGGATATCGGTGTTAATCTCAGGCATAGCAACTTAGTGAGCTGAGCGTAATACAAGCAGCCACAGACTTCCCAACACACACCCAAGTGCAATAATCTTGAACGCGACGTTTGACCCCAAGTTATTTCACATCATCTAGGATGTCACATTTAAACAGGTTCCAATGTAGTTCAAACAACTCGCTGCCAATCACCGCCTTGACAATTGCTACACTACCAACAGGCCGTAGTATCATTCTCAGGGGCAGTCAGTGATGGATTACCTCCCTTTGTTGCAATCAAGTCATACACATCCTTCTTTCCACTGACAGCTGCCATCATTATTGTCGTCCACCCGTTTTTTTTGCAAACTTGGTCAGGAGATACTTTATGATGAACTGATTTGCACCCTGACAACCAAGATGCAGTAAATTGTTTCCAGTATCGGCGCGGTCGGGTAGCCTAGTGGTTAAAGCGTTCGCTCGTCATGCCGAAGACCCGGGTTCGATTCCCAACATGGGTACAATGTGTGAAGCCCATTTCTGGTGTCCCCCGCCGTGATATTGCTGGAATATTGCTAAAAGCGGCGTAAAACCGTACTCACTCACTCACTGTTTCCAGTATCATCAAGCCATTTCAGCATAGCTTTTTGTGACACAAACAAATTGAACACATGCCTCTGTCCATACCTAGCTGCATACATCACTGGTGTCAAGCCTTTCTGTGCCTTCGTATTAATGTCCAATATCTTCCACAATGGCTGTGTTCCCTCCTTGACATGCCAAATGTAGAGCTTTGTCTGTGTCATTGTTCCTCCAGCAGGTTGTCAATAAAGTGAGAAATAACTTGTGGTTCTCTGTAGACCACTGCAGGCTTGCTATGATACCGAGAGTCAGTACTTACAACTATATAGCAAAAACCGGAAGGTTTATATTTGTGATATGTAGATGTATGAGATACCTCAGGATTTGGTTGACATCCACAGACTGTTTCCGTTATGGACTCAAAATCAGCAAATACCACATAAGGGACTCTCGGATGTTTTTCTATGCTTTTAAACTTCACCCATATTTGCTCCTCAGTTTGAGGTAACCCTAGCTTCTGAATAGAGTGACTGGAGCAGTAAAGGCTATGATATTTCAATAAATCTGACCTCATAAATCCATGCAGACATCGTCTACAAAAAAAATGTTTTACCGTCATGCCTGGTCCTATCCCCCCCATCAGTTGACTGAAACTGCGAATTAGACAAAATTGTCTCTTGTCTCCCTGGCTTAAAAGCAGCAAATCTACTGTTGTCTTGAAACCATTTGAACTGACGTGTAAAGGGAACAGACCATCATCTCCCTCATAAACAAATACATTGACAGAAATGGCTTTTTGTGTTTCAAATTTTGGAATTTGGGCTAGGGGTACAGTACAATACCCTCTAGATTGAGCTCTGACTGAAAGGGAAAATATTTGCTGACTCTATTCGCATGAATTTTAAATTGGGTTGAATGCAAGGCAGTGAGTATTGACCACATGAAAGATTTTTGATCATCATTTTGGATATTTAAAATACCTTTCTTGTTGGCCAAATACTCAGGCAGAGGAATGTAGGAACTTGCTGCCATGGGTGCATATTCCACGGTGTTGATTTCCAAATAAATAATATGGTCTAGCACCCATCCACTCCCTTTCGCCTGGAACTCTTGTGTTGATGTATACAACTTTTGGTAAGCCTCTGCTAACAGCTCAATTTCAGAAAAAGTTTGTGGTCCAAAAGTTGATCGTTCTAAGGATAGGCTCCGCTAAAATACTCTCATTGTTTTTTTTTCCATTGTACATTATAAATTTGAGTTTCAGTGTTAGAAACCATTTCATAGCTATTTTCGTTCAAGGTTGATTCAATGTTTGTCTGTTCATCTGGGAGAAACTGGAGAATGTCCACACTGTTAGAATCATTTGGAGTTAATGTTGTGGTTGACACACTACCCTCGAGAGCTGACCTCTGACCTACACCGACCTGATTAAGCCTGACATCATATCTTTCTCCCCTGCGTATACAGCTATCGCATCGATCTACACGTTGGCCGTAGAAACGCTCAGGCCCGGGGTGATGACAATGGAGACATTCACGACCATATGTGAAGCATTGTTGACAGAAGTGTTTGCCTGGTAATAGACACTTGTAATGTCAACACCAGTTGCAAGGCGCAAGTTGTGGCGGGGGCTATTGTTGTCATCGAGATCTCGCGGCTGAAGACGGGCGTTTCAGTTCAGGAGCACTCTCCGTTAATTTTTCATTTTTAGGTTACAGCGGTGACTGTCAAAGGTGTTCTGTCTCGTAAATGTATGTTTACACTGTTCACATGTGATTTTATTATTTCCATGAACAGTACAGACGTGTCTAAGCAGACTTTGTCACTCTAGATGTCAATAATTTATTTTGTGCGTTTGAGATTGACTTCTGGATCATCTGTACAGTTTTTAGCAGCAGCCCATGTCTCTAAGTCGGAGAGTGTTTTCACATTGGTTAAAAATTCTTGTTTGTAATCCATTCTAAATAGATAAAATGGAAATACCTGTAGAAGTTCTCACAAGTCATAGCAATATATTACTCTTATTGCTTAATTGATAATTTGTCATACAGTTTTTAACCCGAAAATCTTAAATTTATATGATACTCTGAACCTATATACTTTATATCTAGCTGATAATATTCGGGACATTTTACACAATAAAGAATGATCTGAGCGCATAAAAGAAGAAACATATCCAATACTTTCATTTGTTACAATATAAGTGCTGAGTGAAAGATCCTTTTAGGACAGGAGTGTGTTCTTGAATTCAATTACCTTGGTCAATACAACACGCAGGGTAGACAGGATAAACTGACAAGTGTAGGCTGTCAGAACGTCTGCCTTGGCTGATGGTGTGAAACAGAATTAGATTTAAATCATGTTCTTCCTTGATATAGGATTCCAAGGGATTAGTTCATTTTTAGCAGATGACATACGTTTACATATAAACATATGCTATTTTCCATCACAACCATGCGAGGGGTGATAGGTGAGATCTCGTTCAACATTTTAGACTGACCCTTGGCGGTATTATGAATGAATTATCCTCAAAATAACAGACTCGCCTTTACCGATCAATTCAGGTCAACACTTATTGGAACATTTTAACCAGACGTGCTGAGACACGCTATAGAGACCTGGTTTGACGCACCAATGTTTACACAGACGACTGTTATTCGGTGCTAGGCGACCTAGTTTGATAGAGCATGTGTGTACACTATCGAGTCTGTATTGGTTGAATGAATGTATGAAACACATAGTTTATGTATCATTTCTAAAACACTAGTTAATATTTACATGGAGCTATTTATCCACCTAGTATTTAAATGTAAAAACGTTAAGCGCGGGCTTCCCCAGTTATTTCACCATCCCGTGTCAACAATAGGTGCTGTGCTTGACAGGTCTTTGTTTAGTGTGACGTTACTTCTTCATCAACCAATCGTACCGTTATGTATCTGGCGTTGAAATGTCATAGTTGTTTCATCTAACGATTTTGTGAAGATTGACGGCCATTTCGTTG